TCAAGACAAGCTCTAAAACATAATACCCCAACGTCGACCCCAAATGTGCATCTTGCTCGACCACTGGGAGGGGCGCCGTCCTCGTGAGGGTCGCCACTTCTCGAAGGCCAGGGCACCCGGCCAACAGCTGGCCCACAGAGCTGACGGAGGCCATCGGCCCACGGAGCCGGGCGGAGCCCCCCGGCCTGTCCGAGCATCGGGCCGGGCGAACGGGGGGGGCCCGGCGCCTCCCGGCGCCGGAGGCGGCGAATTATGTATCGAGGAGTGGGCCCCTCGGCGAGGCCGAAACCAGCTGCATGCGGCACATTTCGTACCTCCCCCTTTCCCAATCCCCCCCTTGCGTTCGGCCCGAGAGGAGCGCCCTCCTCGCGGCGGTGGCCCCTCCTCGAGGGCCAGGGCGTCAGGCCCGCCGCTGGCTCCACGGAGCCCGCAAAGCGGCCTCCAGACCCGCAGGCAGGGGCGCCACGCTGTTGAGATACTCCAGATCTCTCCAGATTTTGGCGAGGAGGAGGAAAGAAAAGAGGAGGAGGAGGAGGAGGAGGAGGAGGAGGAGGAGGAGGCGGGGGAGGAGGAGGAGGAGGAGGGGGGGGAAGGAGGAGGAGTTGACGGTCCGCCTGACACCCGCCCCCCTCCGAGAGCGGTGCAGCCGCGCCAAGATCCAGACCCCCCCCAGAAGCATCGTTTGGCGTTTCGGTCTAGACCCACCCCCCACCCCGCGAAAAAGAGGAGCATAACTGGGCATAAACTGTTGGACCCCGCCCGGAAAAGACGACGACGACGACGACGATGACGACGACGACGACGACGACGACGACGACGACGACGACGACGACGACGACGACGGCGACGGCGACGGCGACGGCGACGCCGGTGACGACAACTACAACGAAAACGTGTTGCACGACTGCTCGAAGTAGACCCCCGCCCCCAGAGAGATAACAAAGGGTCCAAAATCGAGACACCCCCGCAGTCTTATTTGACGAGGCCAGCTAGACCCCTCCAAAAAGTGGGCCACACACACACACACTCACCACATTGTAATGATATCCGGGGGAAACCAACACAAACAACAACGTTTAACCCACGAGCAGCAGCAACATCAACGGCAACTTCATCAGCATTGTAGCAACAGTTATAACAACAAACTTACAATCGCATGAAAAGCAGCGACGACCTGAGCAACATCACATCAGCAAAGCCGGCAGAGGTCTCGGAGAACTGCAAGTCTCATGACCAGGGCAGAACCCCGTGTGCCAAAGCCTGCTTGGGGACAAGCCCGCCAGCGAGGTCGGCCGCGAGGGGCCAGGGAGCCCAAGCCGGCCCCAGGCTGCTCCAACCTGGCCCCAGATGCCACATGATGGCCTTCAGCATGGCGAAAAATGCCTCAAGGCGGGCGGATGGTGCAAATCAAACACCTTAGCTAGACCGGAAGGCTCTTCCAACACGACCTCACAGGGGCCTCAGACGCTCCAGCGGACGCCCCAAAAGGGGCCCCAACTGCTGCTTTTCGAAAAACGAGAGCGTGTCGGTCATGCCAGGCGGCGCTTCCGATGAGAGCTTGAGATATTGGTCCAAGAGAGGTGGCCCAAGAGGGCCACACGAAGACGCCCAGAAGGGCTCCAGGAGGGCCCAGGACGCTTCCGCCAAGAGCAACTCCAAGAGGGCCACCAGAGCCGATGCTCTGGGCTCCAGATGGGGGAGGGCGGGGGCTTAAGATGCGCCGCCCTCCATGCTGATCCTACCCTTCAGGATGGCCAACGAGGGCCCGTAGGGCCAGCAGGAGGGCAGCGAGAGACCTCCAACAGGATCCCGAGCGCCCCGAAAGACATGCTGCGGGGGCCTGAAGGCAGGGCGACGAAATCTATGCATGTCCACTGCTCCCTGGCCAGGCCCATGCTGAACCCAGCAGCGGTGTCTACGCCACGCCCCTGGCTTGGCCAGGAGGGCGTGTACACAGCTCCTGGGTGCAGGATGGGCCTGGCCAGGAAGCAGTGGTTATGTATACATTTCGCCGCTCGAGAAGGAGGCCCCAAGAGGCAGATCCACGAATACATATATGGGTGAGTCATGTGGTCGGTGGTTGTCGTCACCAACGCCTGTTTCCTCCCCGTGTTTCCTCCTCCTCCTCCTCCTCCTCCTCCTCCTCCTCCTCCTCCTCCTTCCCCTCCTCCTCCTAAGTTCCTTTTGCTTATAAATAACATCTCCCTGCCGCACCCCGAGGCCCGATTTTAGGGCGGGCCGGGCGCTTCGCTTGTGAATTCCTCACCAGTTATGACTCTGAAGCTAAACAATTGGCAGCAGCCCCACAGATGGAGGGCGGGACGTTGTCAAAATGTGGCTCTCGCCTTAGCGCGGCGCAGATTCGTTTTTACGAATTTGCAAGAGCTTCACGGATGGAGGGCGGATAGATTTCAATATGTGGCTCTCGCCCTAACGCGGCGCACATTCGATTTAAACATGTGCAAGAGTTTCACGGATGGAGGGCGGTTCCTTTTCAAAATGTGGCTCTCGCCTCAGCGCCGCGCACATTCTTTTGAAACTTTGCAAGAGCTTTACGGATTGAGGGCGGGTGGTGTTCAAAATGTGGCTCTCGCCTTAGCGCGGCGCACATTCGTTTTTACACATTTGCAAGGGCTTCACGGATTGATGGCGGGTAGTTTTCAATATGTGGCTCCCGCCCTAGCGCGGCGCACATTCGTTCTTACAAATTTGCAGGAGCTTCACGGATTGAGGGCGGTTCCTTTTCAAATGTGGCTCTCGCCTCAGTGCGGCGCACCTTGTTTCTAAACATTTACAAGAGTGTCACGGACTCCCATCAACAACGTGTCAGAAATGGTGTCCTGTTGCGGGTGCAACAGTTATGCTGGTTCGCTGTGTTGGAGTCCCAGGAATGGTGGTCTGGCACGACTCATGACTGCCAAGGCGCAACCGGTCAGGTTGATCCGTGGCGTTGGAATCCCGAGAAGAATGTTTCGGCATGCTTCAGGGTCCTCAAAACGGTTGCCTTCCAAAAAGGCAGTTCCTTCAATGGAAATGAACCGTTGTAGGGGCCTATGAAGAAGGAGATTGGATGGAGGGTTGATTCCAACATCGTTGATGACTCTTGGGTTTACACTGGTCATCCTGCTCCTCCTCCTCCTCCTCCTCCTCCTCCTCCTCCTCGTCCTCCCCCTCCTCAGCAATTACACAATGTGGATACGAGTGTCCTCTCTCCCCAGGTGACGCCTGGAAGATATCAAGCCCCCCTCCGCGTACTGGTTTTTACACCCAGGATCCCCAGGAAATGGGTGTTCGCTTGGGTTTGTTTCTCAAAATGTTGCTCCCGCTGGCTGAAGCACTGGCCCCATTTTTGCGCCTCCCGTTATTCCACATCGTGCTCCCGCTGCAGCGCGGGCGTTTTCGATCCTTCCAGATGGGCCCCGAAATCTAGAAAATGCCCCCCCCCCCCGAAAAAGCCATCGGAAGTCATTAAACATTCGGTGTCGATTCGTTGAGTTGTGTGGGCCGCAGAAGCCCCCCCAACGTTGGGGCATCGTCGTTTCCAGGAAGTATCAAGCGGGAGCCCCGTCTCTGCTTTGAGAGGCGGTGTTGGAAGCAGAGCCAGCGGGTGCTCTCCATCAGCCCCGCCTTGTGTGGAGCTTCTCGGGGAGCCCAAGGAGCCAGACGTGGAGCCACGACTCCAGACTGGCCCAGACCTCTCGAAGACGATCCACTTACCCTCCATGGAACCCGGAGCCATGCCATGACATTCTGTGCGGTGCTGCGTTCTGCGCCGCTGTGCGATGCCATGCTTTGCGTTGGAATGCTTTGTGATGCAATGCTTCACTGCGCAATGCCACGCCATGCTATGGTATGCTACGCTCTGCCGTGCTCTTCTAAGTCATGTCAGGCCGTGCTCTACCATGCATCGCGTGCCCTCTCGCGATCATTGCCCTGCTCGCCATCCGACTGTGCGAATGGAGAGGAGATCTACGCCATTGGAAAGGGAGGGAGGGAGGGGTGGGACGTCAGAGATGGCGCGGGCGCACCTAGCTTGTCCTCCCCCCTCCCCCTCCCTCCCTCCTCCTGCTCTCCTCCTCCTCTCTCTCCTCTCCCCTTCCCTCCCTCCTGCTCCTCCTCCTGCTCCTCCTCTCCTCCTCCTCCTCCTCCTCCTCCCTCCTCCTCCTCCCTCCTCTCCTCCCTCCTCCTCCCCCCTCCTCCCTCCCTCCTCCTCCTCCTCCTCCTCCTCCTCCTCCTCTTCTCCTCCTCCTCCCCCCCTCCCTCCCTCCTCCTCTTCCTCCTCCTCTCTCCTCCCCTCTCCTCATCCTCCCTCCCTCCTGCTCCTCCTCCTCCTCCTCCTCCTCCTCCTCCTCCTCCTCCTCCTCCTCCTCTTCCTCCTCCTCCTCCCCGTATCCTCCATAGTCTGCTCCTCCTCCCACGGCCGACCCACACATGGCCGCAGCAAGCGAATGCTTTTTTTTCCGGGGGGGGAGGGGGGCCTCAGCCTTCCCGCACGGGGGGGGGAGGGGGGGGTCTCAGCTTCCCGCAGCAGAGAGGATCCCCTATTTAAAGGGGCCCCAGGACACACGAATAAATACACACAAATAAACATATCCCCCATAGTTTCCCATATTTTCTTGGGTGTTTGTCTTCCCCCCCCCCATGTCCCATATGTTCCCATAGTTTCCTGGGGATCGACGATGAATTGTGTCTGGTGTTTTTTCCTCTCCTGATTGTTGCTTCCGAAGTCTCTTCGGGAGAGCAGCTGTGGCTAGAGCGCCCACGGCGAGCTCATGAGCGCTCCAAGGCTTCATCCGAGCAGGACAAAGCCTTGAGACACTCGTGAGCCCCGAACGCCTCCGAGGCGGCGTTGGCGCCGACCGTGCACGAACCCCTCGAACTCCTGCATACAATACTACAAAGAACGTGGTATTGATACGGCGGCTGTGCCCCCTCCCGTCTGTTTGTGTCAGCGCATGCTCCCAGACTTCCCCAGACCAAACTAATATTCTGGAATTCGTTTCCAGATGGGCTGACGGGGATACGCGATGACTTGGGCAGTGGGCGAAGATTGCTCCGACTTACTGCCACGATACAGCAGGATAGTCAGATCAGATGAAACGCCACATCGCCAACTGCACAACATGAGACATGTTACGATCGCGTACACGATATGCACGGCAGTCGCTCGTCATTTTCCTGCCTGTCGGCAGCAGCACTGATGGCTCCATGGGGGCGGTGAGGCAGATATCCGCTGCTCTGTACTGTGACTGTCTGGCGAGCAGCAGAAAACCCATACGAGCGCCTCGGCAGGATGTACTGGATCACAGGGATGGCCTCGAGGAAACAATATGTGGTTTGTGGGGCGACCCCGCCGCCCACTGTGCCCTCGGCACGCAGACTCGAGCACAGAGCCTCTTGCACGGACAGGGTGGAGTCACCGACCCCGACGCCCGCTGCCGCTGGCAGCCGGGCGACCGCGCTGCTCAGCCTCTCGCCCACTGAGAGTCGTAGCGGAGCTTCTCGAGCCTGCGAGCGATCTTGGAGTGGATCATGGCGAACTGCATACAGTACAGGGCGGGAAGCAGGCAGACGAGGCCGAATCCCAGCACGCGGGGATCAGCGCCGTCCTGAACGAAGAGCCAGCCGGCCGAGGTGACCGCCACCAGGGCGAACACAATCGCGCCGGCTGACCAGCAACACGAACGACATCTCTGGTGCCGAATCCTACCCGGCAATCCGTGCGCAAGAACAACACGAGCAGCACCTCGGCTGTTTTCGTGATCAATAATCAACTGCGCAAGCTTTTGGATCTCCGCCGCGTCCACCGTCCCACTCATATCTGTGTCCATAAGAGTGAAGACGCTGAGGTCCCCCGACGGCAGAGTGATCTTCAACTGTCTGAGGTAATCATGAGATGTCGCACAATTGCAAGCATAATTGAATGCAAAACCCAACACGAAAAAAACAAAACCAAGACCGATAACGGGAAGCAAACCAGAGCACCACGTCATTCGGATTGGTGTGGGCTTCGGTGCTGGATGTACACTGGTCCCCCGTAACTTGGCTGGGTCTTGAGCCATGCATGTGCGCATATACGCATCTAAAACCTATAGATGTGTGAAATATACACATATATGTATTTGTGTATTGGCACCGGTTCGCATCCGCGCACGAAGAACTCATACGCATCTACAAGCAGTATGCACACACGCACACACAAACAGCTGGATGCATACAGTGGAGGCCACTCCAAAGAAACCTTCCACAAGAAACTCGACCCTGAGACCCTAGGACGTCCATTGATTTTTGGTGCGGGAACGTCGAGCTCTCGATGGCAAAACCATCGAAACCCAAGAAACCCAGGGCACCCTGAAGGCAAGCAGGGTGTTTCTTGGCCTGGGTCTCCACATAAGCCAAAACTCCGGACAAGAAAATGTGAAGAAACATCGGCCGCCTCGAAATACGGCATTGAGAAAGGAACCAGCACTGGGAAGCGGAACGCGCACACAAGCACACACACACAAACAGCTGGATGCACATGCGGACCGTGCGGAAGCCACGCACCTGATGCACATGAGGAGGAGGACCGGCGTACCCAACCGCACGAGGACCGAGCGCTGGAAGGGCATGCAGCCACATGCGTATGCCATTCTAGCCCTGGCTTTGCACGCTTTGCTTTTCCGCTTCCGGGCAGATACGACACGATGACAAACAAATCAATGGACACCTAAAGCCATCATCCTGCATGGCTGACATAAGCGGTCGCCGCCTATGGTGGCACCTAGTTCAATGGCAACTGAGCTGCGGCACATCATGCGGCCACGAGGCCGCTAAACCCTACCTGGAAGCACTGAGCCCGCAAACGCTGACACGGAGAGCGCGCAGCATGGCACCGTTGACCAAGCGTCGCCTAATATGCCAGAGCTGGACTGCAATTGAGATCCCACAACCCCCGCCAATGGTAATAGCTTCGGGCGGAGATCCCAGGACTTGGTGATGAAACTTGAGACGACTAAAGTTCGCTTCTGGCCATCATCGCTCTTGACGAAAACGTCCTAATCCCGATGTCAAACAAAACAAAAAAACATTCAGGACTGCGCCCCTCTGAGGCCGACGACTCACGAGCAGCCCATGTGCGCACGGACCTTTCCTCGGACGAACAGAGCACTCAAGCGGACCAGAACAAGAAGAAGGAGGCGACGAAACAAGTGTCGATGACAGTGGAAACAGGGGGACGAGGTGACCTCTTCCCCCTCCTCCTCCTCCTCCTCCTCCTCCTCCTCCTCCTCCTTTCCCTCCTCCTCCTCCTCCTCCTCCTCCTCCTTTCCCTCCTCCTCCTCCTTTCCCTCCTCCTCCCCCTCACTTGCCACCGCTCGGACGTCCCTTCCCCGTGCACTGCTCGGTCTCGTGCCCGCGTTCTTGGCGAGATGGCCCCGGATTCTCCTCGAGGGCCCTCGCCGAGAGGACACCTCCCACGTCCGAGCGATGCCACGCCGCCCTGCGCGCTGATCCCATGCGCCTTCGACGCCCCCCCCCCCGACAACCAGAACAAGGCCTGCACGGCCCAAGACCGACCCCGAGGGCGCCGGCGGCCTCTGCCGGCCGCCGCCCCAGGAGAAGGGCGGACCACCACCGCCAGGTCAAGCCCCTCGGGGTGCAGGATCCTGCAGGATCCTGCACCCCAGCCCAGGTCAATGCAAACCTGGCCCCGCAGGATCCTGCAAGATCCGGCACTCTGGCCTTTCCCCGTGTGCGTTGACCCTCGCCACTGGAGCCCCGAGAACGAACACCAGAAACTGGCGACGGGCCTGCCAACGCCGGCAAGGCCAAGGCCACCATCGCCAGGGGGAGATGAACGCAAGACGAAGCACGAGATGCCCACCCACCTCGACGCATCGGCCTGCCACCGCCGCCACGGCCAAGGCCACCGCCGCCAGGAGGAGACGAGCTCAAGACGAATCAAAAGATCCCCGCCACCTTCATGGATCGCCGCGGGGGGGTGCTAAGGAGAAAGGGGAATACAAGCGGATGCTGAGGCGGGTTCTGTCCAGCCTAACCCAGCTTAGAAGTGGGTTGCAGGTGCCATTAGTGGCCTAAAGGCGTACAGACCTGGGCGAATTAAGAGAGCGGAGCCCACTTGGTTGATCGACTTCACATCATCCTAAGCCACATAGGCCACCTGTAACCCACTGATAGAGTGGGTTCGGCCAGATGCAGTGGAGGCCCGTCCATGAGAAACTTTCCACGAGAAACCCACCCCTGAGACCCCAGGACGTCCGTTGGTTTTTGGTGTGGGAGCGTCGCACTTTCCATCGCAGAAACACTTGAGACCCAAGAAACCCAGGGCACCCTGGAGGCAAGCAGGGTTTTCCTTGGCATGGGCCCCCCACTGTAGGACACTTTGACCCACTTGTGAAGTGGGTTAGGCCACACCAAACGCACTGCAGCATCCACTTCGTCCCCGTAGCAACCACCGCGGCGATCCACCTTGACGCCTCGGCGGGCAGGGGAGGCCGCGCGGCCTCACTGCCTGCCGAGGGCACAGGCCGTCGGCACATGCGGGCCCATCGGCTGTCTCGGTCCGCGCGGGGGCGCGCGCCCGGCGAGCGACCGAGGAGCCACGCAGGCGGAGGGGGGCGACAACCACCGCTGGAGAGGCAGGCGGAGGAGGGCGGGGCACACTGCCCAACAACAACAGGCGCTGTCCACAACGGACAGCGGCCGCTGCTGGGCGGGCGGCCCCTCGTCGTCAGTGCACAACGCCCGCGGCGGCGCAGAGCGTCCGCGCCGCCGCGGACGCTGCTCATGTTGTTCGCAGGCCCAGGCGAGCGCACGTGGAAAGGACCCCCCCCAAGAGAAGAGCCGGGAGTGGCACGGCGCTCGCCCGGCCGCAGCCCCGCCGCGGGACGGCAACCCCCGAGGCGAGAGAGAGGGCCCCGAAGAACGATTCAAAAGGAACAGGGACTGCTGTTGGGCATCGTGCCGCACCTTTAAAACAGGGCTAGGATCGGGATAAATCGCTCCAGAGCGTTCCGGAGCGCTCTCAGAGCGTTCCGGAACGCTCTGGAGCGGCCGCGGCGCCCAATACATCCTCCAAACCCGCCGATTCCCAGAGATTTCGATGTATCCCGATCCGAGTTTGTCCCGATCCTCGCGTCGTTTTAACCTTCCCGTGCCCAGTTCAACCGTATCCCGAGGGAGGGCCCCCGCGCGGGCCCGAAGAGGGGACCGGCGAGGCGCCCCAGGCATGCACGGAGAGCCTGCGGCGCGCGGGCCTCTCGGGGGAGGCCAGGGCCCCCGCCCCCTCCCTGCGCGGCGCCTGCCCACGCGGCCCTATAGATCGAGCAGGGGATCGCCCACAGCAGTGGTTTGCCCCAGGCTCGAGTTTCGCATCGAAGGTGCGAGAGAGAAGTGCGTATAGAGTCGAAATCCGTAGTGAGGACGGGCGGTGAGGACGCAGAGGCCTTGGACGCCGAGGTTGGCACTTCTTGGGCGGCGGACCGCCAACACCCTGGAGGGCTGGCCAGTGTCAACCGCGAAGGACGGGTCGCAGAGGCAAGGACGCAAGGGCACCCTAAGGACATCCGTGCGTCCGTGCTATGGCTTCTGACTGTAGCAGGTTCATAGATCTGCGGATCACTCTGCGCATGTCCGTGGACTCGACGAACACATGGGGGCAAATCCGTTCTGCAGTCGATCCCCCATTCCACCAGTGGTCCCAGCCGCTTCCCCCCGGGGTCGTGTCTCGTCCCAGGTTCATGTTGCTCCCATCGTACTTACGGACCAAATCTCAGAAATAATTTCGAGCACCCGCAAAGGTGTCGAAACAGTGTCAGACGAGTGTCTCCCAGGGCCCGACACGTGAAAAACCTCTAGTTTCGGTACTTTTCGGGTGCTCGAAATTCTTCCTGGTGGTCAAGGCGAAAGTAGGTTGGAACATCATAACCCCAGGTTGACCTTGGAAGGGCCCCCAGAGGCCCAAGCCGAGGCAAAACGCCCCGACGGCAACAAGGAACAGCTCGTCGGAGGAACAGCTCGTCGGAGGTCTGGGGCTGGCCCCCCCCCCCCCCCCCCGGGAGCGGCGCGTCCCTCTCCGACCTGCGGGTTTTCCCTCTCCGTCTCTTTGGCCGAGCGGGCCCCGCTTCTCTCCTGCCGCCCGGGCTCTGCAGGCAGGACGTGCTCGGCGCTTGTGCTGTGCGCCGCGGCGCCTGGAACGCGGGGCGGAGCGACTCCTCCAGGAGCCCCAGGCGCGCCTCGCTCATGCGGCTCCTGTCCCCCAGCGCGGCCCCGAGGTCGGTCAGCAGGTCGCCCTTGGCCGGAAGGACGCGAGGGGAGGAGGCCCTCCGGGAGGCCCACTACAGAGGAACCTGGACCCACCTCGATGCAGCACTGGCACGGTGGCGAGGTTTGTCACAGGCAGCTAGATACAGCTTCAGGTGCTTGAAAATTTGAACATCCGCCGACCATGTCGACGTGTGTAAGAGGCTTCGTGACGGCCTTGCAGAGACCATCATCCCAAAGCTTTACAGGGCCGAAAGTCCTAGAGCATTGCGAGGTCACTCCATGGATCGTTTCAAAGTCGCCATCCCTGGAGACATCGTGTTAGATCGTAGCTCGAAGGGAAGTCCATCCCTTGATCCCCTCCCCTACGCAGGGGGGTCCTGAAGGGGGTCCAGGGGAAGATCCGTGTGTGTGTGTTGTGTGTGTGTGTTGTGTTGTATGTGAGTTGTATGTGATGTGTGTGGTGTGTATGATGTGAGTGGTGCTTGTGTGTGTGTTGTGTGCCATGTTCTGTGCGTGTTGTGTGGGATGTGTGTTGTGTGTTGCGTGTTGGTTGTGTGTTGTGTGCGTTGTGTGTTGTGTGCTGTGTGTTGTGTGCTGTGTGTTATGTGGTTGTGTGTGTGGTGTTGTGCGTGTTGTGTGTGGTGTCTGCTGTGGTGTGTGGTGTGTGGTGTGTGGTATGTGGTGTGTGGTATGTGGTGTGTGGTATGTGGTGTGTGGTGTGTGGTGTGTGTTGTGTGTTGTGTGTTGTGTGTTGTGTGTTGTGTGTTGTGTGCTGTGTGTTGAGTTGCCTGCTGTGTATAGTGCTGCGTGGTTTGTGCTGTGTGTTGTGTTGTGTATTATATGATGCGTGTTGTGTGTTGTGTGTTGTGTGTTGTGCTGAGTGCTGTGTATG